AAATGTCACTGTCGAATCTTACGACTGTAATATTTTTGTCAACATCTTCAAAATATTTTCTTGCATGGTGGTCTACTTTTTGAAGGGCATGGCATTACCTCATATTCGCTTGCTTTACCTCGCCTCATTAGTATTGATCGTAGCTAAGGCAATCCGCCATCATAAATAGTATAACATTCAGGGCTTTTGGAGCACAGTTAGATTGATGTGATATGCAGGCAAAATAATGAGCTGTGACTTTCATTACGTTTGCGTCACCCCAGCTCATCGAATGTCGCCTTGAACGCAACGCGGACGGTGGTTAATTCCCAAGGGCCTTGTTGTAATTCATCGAAAACTGTTTGGCAATCTTTCAATTGCTTCATTTTGGAGAGGGGATATTACAACAGGGTGTTAAATGTTGATGACGAGGTCCTTCTTTTTATCATAGAGCGCAAAGTAGCGGAAAAATGGTTCAGCGGAAATGGGCTTCAGAAGAAAGCATCGACATCACGTACGGACCCTTTGCAGAATATCTTACTTACCTGTCTTCCATTTGTTATGAAATATTTGGAAATATCGAAACCAAATTATAGGGAGGGGGGAGGGTTCCATCCATGCCTAATTTTCTTTCTTTAACACGATGAGGAAGTGTCAGTTAGCTGTACGCCCAAGGATTTGAATCACAATTAAAAAAAATATATATGAACAAGACGTAAGCTTGGAAACTGTGGCAATAGGAATATTTTTATCTATTACTCCAGTTCTGTAGAGAGGCTTTGTTACTGTTATTGTTCGCAGTTTATTGCTCTGTTTTTTTGTAATTGTTTTGTAATTGTTTTTTATTTTCTGTTTTTTGTTACATCTCTGTCAAATTAAATATCGTGCAATTAAAGACAATAATAACAATAAAATGATTGTATTTTACAACTAGAATGTGCAGTTAGCTGCAAGGAAAACTTAAAAAATTTATTTTTGGGAATTAATAAATTTACAGCTTATTGTTCTGTCTTTGTGAAAGGTTAATGTATTCAGTTCGACAATGTTTGGAACAATCGTAGAATAAATCATATTTACATTACTCAATAAATATATATATATATATATATGTATATATATATCCTAGCCTATTACATGGCATACCTTTCGGTAAAGAATATTAAATTACTTGAAGGTCAACCGTTATTTTCATTCAAATTTCCAGGATTAAGATCCGGGTCATGCCTAAACATAAGATTAACCTGCCATGAATTATCTACTCTCTACCTTGATTCTGCTCACATATAATCTTTCTTTAGATTAAGGATCTAATTACTGCCTGCAGTAATGTAGTTTTGTAGGATGAGTCACGACTCTCTACCTTGATCCTGCTCACATAAAATCTGTCCTAAGACTCAGGATCTAATCACTGCCTGCAGCATTACTGCCTGCATTACTGCCTGCATTACTGCCTGCAGTAATGTAGTTTTGAAGGATGAGTTTTGTGGGATGAGAGTCGTTGCCTTGATCCTGCTCACATATAATCTGTCTTTAGATTGAGGATCTAATTACTGCCTGCAGCATTACTACTTGTCTTTACTTCCTGCAACATCCTTAGGATGCTGCAGGTAGTAACCGTCATATTATTACCATCTGCTTACATTCTTGAGGTAAGATAGTCAGTCAGTTAGTATATACCACACAAGTGAAAAATGTCTTTCGCGCAGCTGATTAGCTAGTGCGAAACGAAGAGAATAGCAAGAATTGTTCACCTCCGACAGCCGATATTTATTGGTATTTTAAAGGAGATGGAATTCTTTGGTATCTGTGTGGTATGTAACAAAACAAGAATTCACCTTTATTCAGTGTCGGTGAAAGTTTTGGATATCACTATTCACCTCCACTTCGGTGAGTAATTGTTAAATGTTGGTAAGATTATTTAGCTGTATTAGGAATAAAAGTGGCCCAAGCTTCGACCCTTGACATGGGGAACTCCACACCATAGCGTGGCTTCTTTAGAAGAGTACTCCGTTTACATGTACGATCTGAAATCCTTTTAATAAATAAGAGTGTTTACGGCGTAAAATTTACACCATTTTAAGGCATGGCCACGCACTCCGGTATACTCTGATTTATAGTAGACAAAGGCTGGTGGTATACCGTGTCAAAGGCTTTTTTTGGATCTAAAAAAGTGGGTGGATGGATAAATAGATGAGTGAATAGATGGATGAATGGATGGATAGATGGATGAATGGGTAGAAAAATGGACAAGCACCGTAATGGAGGCCAAGGGAATGATGTGAGTGGAACCTAGATTACGGAGAGTGTGAAAACAGAGAGGCGGACGATCGAAAGAAGAATAAGAATTTAGGAGCAGAGGTCTCTTTCACTCTCCCACCAAAATGCCGAAAAAAAAAGTTAAAAAACGCCGCTCTTTCACTCGCCTTCACCGAGCGAGGGCTTGGAACAGCCTACTCAACCCTTTCACTCGTCAGTAATTCTCCTTACCGTCTGCCACACAATTCTTATTATGTTAGTTTGGAGAATTTGGTATTGAATCAACGTCGATCTGTCCTTCCTTATCTGCTTGATATTGCATTGACACTGTAAGAAGAAATTCTCTCTTGGGTCACTCATGGGAGTGAAAGGGTTCATGCAATTGTCCATCGTTAGGCCAAAGAGAGCCCAGCAGAACTGCCATGGTATGTAATGGAGTGGAGTCAAGTAGGACATTCCCAGTAATGAATGTAACAATACATGGTTGGTTCTCCAGTTGTAAGTGTTCCTTCGCACTTACACTTGTACTCTCTTTCTAAGCCATCGACAGTGTATTCTAAATGGCAATTTTTGGCGTCATTTGTGTCACAATGCACGCTGATTATTCTTGTGCCCTAATAAACAATCAAACATAAAGACAAAAAAACGAAAATAACAGTGCTAAATAACTAGCACTAACAGGGCATTAAGTTGCTTTAAAAGAGTTTCTCTCCATATTATTGCCCACCTCTCCAATCCCTAGGGTTGAAACCTATAAATTGTCAGACCTTATATTACTGAAAAGTATTTATTGATAACATCGATTTCATTCATGTTTTATGTAGCGTCTCATTCTCATGACAAACTAATGGTGCACCTGTGGCCTTTTCTCTTACAGCTATGTTCATATTTTATTCAAAATTAGTACGTCCTTCCATCCGTTCGTACGTTTCTTTGTTTTACAATAAACCAGTCAGAAAGTCCTTCAGTTGCTCGGTCGGTAGTTTGTTTATTCAGCCAGCTAGTCGGTCGGTCTATCGGTCGGATGCACGGACATCCCTCTTGTTTAGTCAGACAGTTAGTCAGTCGTCCGGCGGTAGGGCAGTCAAAAATAAGATCGGCTACAAATGATCAGACAGTCGGGCAGTTGGACAGTCAGGTAGTCAGACAATTAAACAGACAGATAGAAACTAACGAGGTTAGATAGTCCGGAACTCAGTAGCTATGTCAATCAGGCGGCCAGTCCGCTTGTCAGTTAGTCCGCCAGCCAATCAATCCGTTTGTAAGCCATTTAGTTAGTCCGGCAATCAGTCTGTTTTTCAGACAGTTAGTGAGGCAATTAGAAAGTATGTCTGTGTGTCTGTCTGACCGCAAGTTTGTATTTCATTCTGTCTGCTAAGTCAGTCAGGCAGGCAGATAGTCAAACTACGGATTGCCTTGATCGGCGTGGAAACTGTTTAATATCTTAGTAAACGGCCCTAAAGGTAGATAAAAACGTAGGAATTACTTTCTTACTTTTTGCTCTGTTACAGATATCTCCTGCTTTATGAGTGACGAGGCAGGTAAACCTCCAGAGCTATTTGTTTTGTATTGACAAAGCGTTATATTGACTCCAGGACCTGGCAATCCAGGCGGTCCCACTGGTCCGGTACCACCAACTGGGCCCTGTGTACCGTTATACCCTGGAAGTCCCCTGGGTGGGACAATCTTGGACATGTTAATCACCTGTGTTAGAAAAAGGAGCAGTTAGAACAAGAAAACCCTCTCCTGAAAAGAATCATGATCTTTAAACTCCACACGATCAGAGTAGTTGCGTTTCTGAATAATCCAAGGATGCATCTTTCTGCGTTGCAACGTTCTGTTATTGATCCGGAAGCACTTAGACAGGGAAACTTTCTAAATAATTTTGTGATATTTTTACTCCTTTGCAACCAACTGAACACAATTATATATGTAGGCGTGAATGGTAAAGGACTAAGATCCAATCGACCCGATTTGCCACATTTGTTGGTTTTCTTTTGTCATTCTTTTTGTTTTGTTGGGTGCTTTTTTTTTTTCGAAAAAATTAAACCCCCTCAAAGGCGCAGGAATCTTAGTTCGTTTGAACATTTCTCTTAGTTGTATCAATTATGAAAGATGAAATTTTTAAAGGTCCGGCGTAGCGCAGAATGTAGAAAAAAAAAATTTCTATTGTTAGAGACTGTAGATTATTCGACAACTAACCTGTTTCTTCACATCCAGGAGTTCATTTTCTGACGAATTCAATTTGCGCCACAAATCGGACAAATCTTCTTGCTCTAGAGAACTTACGTTTAGGTAACTAATAGCTCGTCTCTGCGACAAAATGAATAAATCAGTTATTTAATGCACGAATAACGCATTAAACCAGGAGCCCCTGATTAAACTCATAACGCATTGATTTTTGAATACCAAAGCCAAATCATAAAACATTCAGCCTTTAGCTGAACAATTCAACGACAATAGATTTATCAAAATAGCAATAACATACAGTTTGCACGCGGTTGACAGAATTTTCTTGCGCAGTACTTACGTTGTGTAAAACTTGTTGTCGAGTCTTCTCATACTCTTCTCTCAACTTTGTCAAATTATTCGAAATCATTTTCACAGATTCAAGCAGATGAATTCTTTCCTGAAAAATTGATGATAAAGATATAAACATAAAAAAAACAAGGCGTGTTTGAGGCTATAATTCATGAATAAAACAATTTTTAGATATCATGAAGAGGAATATATAAAATAATCATTATAATTATTAATAATTATTCAGAGACCAAAATTTTTTCTGTTTCGGCAACATGACATCTTCACTAAGTGCAGTGAAAGGGTCTTTTACTTTACCAACATAAGAGCGATTTTATTCAATTGTTTTCCTTTTTTTTCCCTCTCTCTTTTTCCTAACATGTACAGAGAAAAGGATGTATTATGAATAGAAGTTTCTTTTTTCCTACTTCGGAAGTTAAAGCAGCATTTACACGTGCTGAGTTTACGTGAGGGTGATCTTTGCGTCAATTGCTCATGATATGCATGTTAAAATTATTCTTGATTTAATTAATACCCTTATATTAAACAAAACATCGCATGTTGGCTTGTTGATACGAATTCACCATCTCGCGCTAAAAATTTAATTCCTACGCAGTCAATTTCATCCGTATGCGTTTCTTTATCTTCTTCGTGCCGCTCTAAGGGCCTGAATTCTGACCATGTTGCTTAAAGAATGAATTTACTTACTGAATTTAAATCATTGATAGCTTCCTGAAGGAGGGTAAAGTTTTTTGTTAAGTTTTCCATGCTTGAAATATTCCTCCGCAGTTCTTTCATATTTTCAGAGGTAATTTTCTGGAACTTCTCACCTGCGAAAAAATGAGTGCGTAAGAAGAACGACCTTAAAAATGGTAAGTTGAAAAACATTATGTTAAGGTTGTTAAATGTTAAGTTTGTTAAATATTAAGTTTTGGCACTCTGTGTGCCATGCACGTTGCTTGTTCCATAGCTGATAAAATGGGTACGGTTAAATCAAAGTTCTTGATCTCTTGGTCATTTATGAAACCCGCTATTTCCTAATTTTTTTTTTTTTTTCAAATGAGTTTCAAGGAAGTGCGCACGCTGGCCTAAGGGAAGGGCACAAAAAAGCAAAACCTCACGCGTCAAGTCTACATTGCCCATCATGTTTACACTGAACATTATTTACAACCAACCGCAGGACCAGTCTATCACTGAATGGTCAAGTCTGCTTGGACTAAACGCAAACTTGACCATTGAAGGGGGTCTGAAAGTTTAAAAAACCACAATCATAACAATCTCTTATTGAGGATTAACGGAATTAACTAACCCCAGTAAAATGATAAGTTTAACCCCCCTGAAAATATCTGCAAGACTGTGAAGCTAGTGGAGTCACAGATAGTCTGGAACGTTATGAATTTAAATCACTTCCACCAACATTGCATTTTATCTGAATTTTCAGAAAGAAGATATTTTTATTTTCTTTTCACGAAGGAGAGGATTATTAGGTGCTTGAAAAATCCCAGGTGGGTCGTTGAAAACTAAAAGTTGTTTCGTGTTCAGTCAAACGATACTTCAACACAGCGACAATCCGGCAATTTATGATCCAATTTTTATTGTCTGGCACGATGAAACTCGATGAGCTATAGAGTCCTTGACCCTTGCAATCCCAAGATCTTATTAGTTATTCTCCTTAGTGTCTACTATTCAATTCTTATGATGTTATTTCAGAGAATTTGGTATTGGGTCAACTAATAATCCCCTAATTGATATTTTTACATACGCTCTTCACTTTTCTGCTTGAAGAAGAAATGTGTCTTGGTCACTCATGGGAATTGAAAGGTTAACAAGTTTCCTTTTTCAAAAAACTGGCTTGTTAGGTTTCAGAAAAGGGACTTACGATGAAAAAAAACTTGCTCATATCGCATCAATGTTTCTAAGGAAATAGTGTTACGAGGGAAAATGATAATTAGTGACCTTGCTAGTTTAAATCAAGTCCAAACGAAACATAACTAAGGATCTAGTTGACATTCCGACAGGTAAATTTATAACTTCCTAGACGTAAATCCTTTCTCGAGGTTATAAGACCTCTTTAGGGCTAATCTAAAAAAAATGACACCGCTGTATAGGGTTTCTGAAGCGGTGAACGATGCGGAAAAGTATTTTCCTCTGCACGATTATTCAGCCTTGATACTACGTCTGTGGAAAACAATGCGAACATATGTCTCAATGTTGAATGCACGTGCGCAACTCTTGTTCGACTACTATTTTAACGGCTTTTACTCGGGATTTCCGCAACCGCCGTCGCAACACTCTCAATTTAAACAAGCCTTGTCATTGTTAATTTTTTTATCACGTCGCCGTTCTCGATTTTTTTTTACTAGCATCACCTCTGTGGCATTTTGCTATCATCACAATGTTACTGTTTTTATCACATCCTTCAGTTTCGTAGTTAAGGTTTGGCATGGCCAAAAATCGTCGACGCAGAACAGTGGGATACAGTTTCTTGAACAACTTGTAACAGGTTGTAATTTACGAGTAATGGACGAACCAAGAAACCTTTCGTCAAATAAGTACTTCTTAATGAGCAGAAACGAACTTCCATATATCTTCATCTCCATAAGATCGGAAAAAAGTCATTTCTACGTACCAAGTTGTTTGAACATTTCCCAATGAGTATGCACCACAAACTATTCACTCTAAGACGGCGGCTTGTGGTATGTTTCGTCTGGCCAAGTTTAAATATAAAATGACCTAGTTTTCTTATCGCTGCCTGGGTAACCTTAAAACACTCTCAGGAATTTAAAAACAAATTTTTGTTCTCACGGAATTTCACCGGGCGTTCATCGAAATCTATTCAGCCTGTCTGTCGGAACCTCAAAGGCTACCGCTCCATGCACGAGGCAACCTTGCGGAAATACAAGAAAAAACATTACTCTTGCAGCTATGGTTTTTAAGAAAAAAAAAAGGAAGATTTGTTTTTATATTCCTTTCCCTTCACTGATTTTTGTTTCTGTTTGTCTATTTGCTTCTTCTCGTTGTTGCTTCGTGACAAAAAAGAGCTGGATGGGAAAGAGACATGACGTCTGACGCCTTTCTCATATCGCACATAGTCAACGTTGTGTACTTAAACCAGGACGTCAAACTTAAGACGGACATGCTGTAACTCCTATGCCAAACCACGAAAACATTGGAAGAACGTCAATATGGGATGTACGTTGTTCCATTTCCTTTCGGTATACTTCAAGGCTCATGCAGCATCCCACATGCAATGATCTTTAGAACCAAAAACGTCTTATGTCTTTTGTATCGTTTCCGTTCTATAAAGAAGGGGCTCTCAATCCTTTCTGTCTTCTTCTTCAACTTACTAGTCTTTTAATATTTATTAACTAACAAATCAGTATACTTTTCATTATTATTAGTATTTTGTGTGTTTCCGCGTTCACAAAGGTCACTTACCTTCAGCGCGCAAATCACTGTCGCAACCGTTTGATCCCACTTCAGCTTCTTTCTGAAAAATCATCCTATAGCACACGTAACTTGTAAGACCTAGGCATAGGACTGTCAATACCAATAACAGAATATTCAAAGCCACCAGACATCGCATTCGTCCTGAAGAAGACCGAGACAGTCTGTCGTTTGTCTGATACCGACGGCTCCTCGTGTTCTCAACATGTGGTTGCTTTGGAGGGCGATTTTTAAACACGCTGCTGTTGGGAGTAAAAGGAGCTCTATCTAAGCTGTTGAACGCCGGGTTTTCGTAAAAATGGAGTTCAACGTTATGTCTGTTAGGTGGCTCAGAATAATGATTTTCGAGTCGCCTCCTTCCTTCCATCGTTTTCTGTTCAGAGCGATCACCTTATGGCCTAAGTTTTGTTTGGGTGCGACTTTGTCAGGGTATGACAGCTATTTCCTTTACGTTATTTTCCAACCTGTTACTTGATCACCGGAAATCATTCGCGGTTTACATCAAGGGGCTGTCGGCGGGGCGGGAAAAGAAAATCACGCCACTGAATCACGCCTGTTTAGCGCAAAACGTGAGAAGGAGGAAGGATATATATTTTCTCCCACTTCGTTCCCTGTTTTCTTGCTTTTATTCCTTTATGTTCGAGTCGTTAGGTTTTTAAGGGAATGAAATGTCTTAGTTTTGCATTCGATCAAGAAATCGCGATGGCAGCTCGGGAATGTAGTTTTAAAATAAGTGCTCAGGTCTTAGTTTGCCTCTGGAAGTTCTTAGACGTAATTCCGCGAGTTTTTAAACCCAGGGAATCCCTAAATCCTCATGAGACAACATGGTTAAAACAGAGGAAACCATAATACAGCCAGATTCCTCTAGTTCCTCTGGTTAAAAGCTCCAGATGGGCTTTATTAGAAGTTGTCGGAAAATCTTTTGCGGGTACGTCATGGGTGTAACTCAAGGAATGACGAAGGTGTGTGGAAGGAAAATGCCAGAAGAATAACCGGAGGGTCTGTTAATTTTAACTGGACTTCGTATTCAAATTCTCGACGTTGAAAACGACCACTTAGTGTCGTAACGAAACATCCGTTCGAGGTAGACCTGTCTTTCAGCATACTTAGATACTTCACATTCACCTCTCTCGATCCCCGTAGAGGAGATCTTTACGGAAGCAAAACATCCTTCGCAAGTGACACTCGCCGCGCAGGGCAAAGCGTCCACTAAGAGGTGATGAATGAAAAAAAAAATACACAGGTTAATACGTCTATTTTATCTCATTTCTTGACATTATTGTTGTCTGATAAGTTAATTATGATATATGAATTTGTTACATATCTATGTCCTTGAGACGATTACACAAGCATGCAAGAAGGGAAATTAAGTGTTCTGGTTTGCTACTTGGGCGGGAAAAGCCAGTTTTCTGAATTTTTTTCACTTTTTCCTCTTTCAAACGTCAGCGCTTGAGCATAGCCCTGTTTTTCTCTAGCTTTGTTTTATCAACTTCTTTGGACTCTCTGGAAAGAACAAAACTGAATGAGATAACAGAAGGTCCAAAAAAAAAAAAAACCCGTTTCAATGTTTAGCCTTATTGGCCTCACTGTTAGTCAATAACTTCTGTTATATACTGCAGACCGGACGACTATTCCCCACACGCGGCTTTGCGGGTGGTTTTGTTTATAATCCGGAAGAGCAACAATTTGCCATTAAAAAAAAAAAAATAGAACAACAACAAAAAAAGAGCAGTAAAAACAAAACAAAACAAACAAAACAAAAACAAAGAGAGGATGTATACGTGAGACAAACAAAAAAAATAAACTCGACCTCCACAAAAAACGTTGCTTTTACTTAAGGTGGTTAGAGGTTAGCCTATCAGCCCGTAATATTTCCTGTGAACACGTTTAAAGGTCATTAAAATGGGAGGAAGATAGTATGACCTATGCTATCATAGCTGGCCAAAGTATGCGTTTATAAAACCACAATTTTTCTGCTTTGAGTTAGCTCTAAGTGGAAAGAGCACCCACTTCTACGTGAACAGCAAATTTAATGTACTTCTACGAAAAAAATAGCGTATGTATGGGATCATATTTAAAACGCACGCCTGAAGGAAAGTATGCGTGGAATCATCGGTCACAGACGGTAGGAGATCAACAAAAAAATACACGTTCGCCCGTGAGCGATCGACGATGGAGAGCTGTTTCTGGGTGGTCGATGATATTTTTAAAACATATGGAGATAAAATATCTTGGCTTCCTCTATACCATACAGGTGAATAGTGCTTTAGCGCACAATGATTGGCTTGTTCGGAAGTGATTAGCGAGTGCCATCCACCTCCGAGAAACCGATAAAAAACCATTCTTTTTGTTTCTGTGTGGTATATACAAATAAAACGCTTATTCACCTCAGTGTAAGTGAGGGTAATGGATATTTACCGAGCTGCAATGCTACAAGGTAGATATCCATCACTATATTCACCTTCACCTCGATAAATAATGGTTGATTTATTGTTTAATTTATATCACGAGAGTGGGTTTGCGCACAACAGATAGGAAATTTGTTTGCCGTTCGAGCGCCGGTCAGTAGCCAAGTGATCATCCATTGCATTATGCAGGTTTGATTTGCATTTGAATTTTGCAGATATACACCTTTGCGCTTTCCCTGAGACGATTATATTTGGCTTCGCATAATGCCGATTTGATATGCGCCTATACATCTGTATTGACCCCACGGTTAGTCAATAACTTTTGTTATATACTGCAAAGCGGACGACTATTCCCCACCCG